ATAATCTGATAAATTAGCTCGAGCTAGCCATTGACCGCCAAATCTGGGTGGTTTAATGGCGGTTTCCAACTTCCAACTATTCCTCAATCAATGAAACTCAAAGTTCTTTCAATTTCTAAATTGCAAGATTGTCGAACTAGGGATGCTTTCGAGCTCAAACTCGAAATACTCGTCCATGGCACCGTCAAGGTTGTACTCTCTCAACAGGCTTTACAAAAATTCCACATTGGAAACACTAATTTGAGTTTGGATGACTCCATCATACCATTTATTGACACCCAAAATTATCCCTGGTGGGAGTGGGCCATTTACAAGTTACAAAAGATATAAAGTGTAGCCCACATAGCGAATATCCAAAAAGGCTGCAAGTCAGACCCAGAGGCATTAAGAAGATCTAAGGTAATTGTCGACAAGACACGTCATAGAGGTATCGACAAGTTCAAAATCACGAGCCTTGCACATGACATTGACGAGTTCAAGATCACGAGCTTCGCACGTGACGTCGACGAATCCAAGATCACGAACTTCGCACGTGACGTTGACGAATCCAAGATCACGAGCTTCGCACGTGACTTCGCACGTGACGTCGACGAATCCAAGATCACGAGCTTTGCACGGAATCATGGTAATACGTGGCGGAAAATTTATTTACACGTGTCAAAAGGTAAAGACATGACCATGGGCGTGAAGATCAAGGAAGAGATGAAGAGACACGTGGAAGAAAATTAGCTACTACGTGATGCCCAAGGGGCGTAAGCAACATCGATAAGTCAGGAAGCGGTTAAAACACGAAATGTAAGGAAGTGGAAAACAACTTTCAAGGAGAAGTGCGGTCGACAGTTGTCAAGCTGCTCTATAAATACTCAAGGATTTCCAACGAAAAGAGGACCTGCTTCAACAAACACAACACATCTTTTATCTAGTCTTTATCCTTAACGCATTAGGAGTAGTTTAATCATAGCTTTCAGATTCTTTGTCGTAGATTCAATTCCGACGAGGGTCTTTATCAGGTTCAGCATTGTTGATTAAATTCCAATGTTGTGCCACCAGTTCAGCGTCGTTGATTAAATTCCAGCGTTGTGCTTAGAGTATATCTGTTGATTAGATTCCAGCCATATTCTCTTAAGCTACGTCATTGATTAAATTATGGCGTACTTTGAAGTTGTGTTGTTGATTAGATTCCGACATAGCTTAACTTCAACATTTGTAAATTGTCGTTTCATTGTTAGTATTGTCGAGTTTGGTATCATATCGAGTCAGGGTGTAAGATCTATTGGGATTAATAAACGTATTTGACATTCTTTGTCCAAGCTTGACTCAAGACCCTGGTCTCCTCTAATAAAATCCGAAAAGCAGCGTTCGGTTAAAGATTTTCGACAGAATAAAAACCGGCGACACATCTTTTTGGCACGTCTGGTAGGACTGCTATTGAGTTAAGTAGAGAGAGTGCTATGCCACGCACCCGGAGTAGAACCAACTCAGATAATAATACTGACGAGCAAGCTGCATCGATGGCGGAAGATAATTTCCATGCTGAGACATCATCCGCTCAACTTCTTCATACCGAGGTTGCTAACCAATCTCGAGAGCAGGTCACAGATATGTCGAAGCAGCGTGTTGAAGATAGAAGGCAAACTGAGCTCACACCAGTTGCACTCTCTACCATGAGGCGAACTATCGAAGAAACTCAGAACGAGTTCGCTGATTATGTGGTAAGGCATATGACTGAAGTGGTTAGGCCTTTGATTATTAACACTTATCATGAACGCACGCAAGGTCAATATGGAGGGTCCATCACACTGACCCAACTGAGAACAGGACTTCCGTCAGTATCGGGGGGTCCTGCAATACAGTTTGGAACAATGATACAAAGTACATCTCCGATCCCACCCATTCGAATATTACCAAGGGGGGAAACTTTGCCAATAGCACCCAGCGAGGGATTACCTCATACTAGCGTGGACCCAAATGGAGGAATTGCTCGACAGTTGATGATCGATGAAAACCTCCAAAGAGGACATCAGGTTACTCAGGTGCATGGTCCCCCTGTGATCCAGGTAAATCCTCCACCTGTAGTCCTAGATGTTCAGAATCTCGCAACACCCTTGCCTAGGGGGCAAGAACAAATCCAACAGATAAACGTTCAACCACAACGTCAGGCGCCCCAGCCTGCGGTGCCTAACGTAAATCAACCTTTTCCACCCCCTATGGGTCCAAATGTAATCCAGCAACCATTGCCAGCACAGTTAAACCTACTAGCTAACCCACCTCTGATTGCTAACAATGTACCACAGCTAATGCAGCCACCACCTCAACAGCAACCACAGTTACCACAGCAGCCATTTTACCAATTGCCCCATCAAAATTTGAATCAACCATTGCCACCTAATTATGTTGTAGCTCCTGCGCCTGTCGTAGGTCATGTGCAAAATCAGTTAGTGGTGGACCCTGTAATGAGGGGATATGGTCATGATATGGGATATCTCCCAAACGTTTATAGAAAACCATATCCTGATTGGATGGACACTATACCGTATCCAAGAGGTTTTAAAATGCCAGAATTTACATTGTTCACCGGAAAGGAAGATCAGTCCACTTTTGAACATGTTAATCGTTTTCTGGCTCAATGTGGTGATGCGGCTCATGCTGATTTTTCGAAGTTGAGGTTATTTCCCTTATCCTTGTCAAAAACCGCATTTACATGGTATACTGCCTTACCTGCAAATTCGGTCACATCATGGGAACAAATGGAAAGGTTATTCCATTGCCAATTTCAAAGAGCTGTGCCAGATTTTTCGGTAGCAAATCTATCGACCATGAGACAGTTAGCTAATGAATCTGTCGATCAGTTTGTTTCCAAGTTTAAAAGGGCAAGGAATAAGTGTTTGGTTCCTTTACCTGAAAAGACTTTTGCGGACCTCGCTTTTAATGGACTGAAGTTTGAAATCCGAGAAAGAATGGTTGGACAACCATATTCAGATCTGTTCCAATTATCAACCATAGCTACTAAGCATGAAAGTCTCCTTCAGGAAAAAGACAAAAGGTATGGTTGACGGGGTGAAGTTCGTTGGGCTGACGCTGACGAGAGCGAGGATGAAACTGAGTCAGTAGATATAACAGATGTGGCTCTCGCTAAGATGGTGATTGATAAGCCATATGTTTGCAAGGCTCTAAAGCCAGCAAGAGTTAAAGAAAAATCCAACCTCATGTCAAAGGCTAAGGAACCTATATTTTATTCTTTCGATATCAATAAGACAGAGGAAATATTTGACTTATTATTAGCCGACGGATAGATCAGACTCACGGAGGGTCAGGTTATACCTACCAAAGAAGAATTAGTAGGAAAGAAGTACTACAAATGGCATCATTCATGGAGCCATGCCACCAATGATTGCCTTGTGTTTAAAAGAAACGTCCAGGAAGCTATTAAGCAAGGGAAGATAAAATTCTCTGAAGACAAAGGTAAGTCCCCGATGGAAGTTGATGTCGATCCTTTTCCTGTAACGGCAGGGATGGTGTCATTAAGGACAAAGACTAGGGGGCATCAGCCGTATCTTTTTTGCGAAAAATGTAGACGATTATTGCAACAAGACAAATATCACTCCAATAGTCGAAGACGTCCGCCTAGTGAAGTTGTCGACGGATTCCGTGATTTGGGTCTCACTGATTCATATGATGAACAAACTCCTCCTAGGGGTATTAATCATCATAGAGACCGTCGAAACCGTAATAAGACTATTAAGTCATTCAAGCAAAGGTATGAAGAAGGTGATCCGACTATCGGCACTTTAGGAGAGCCTAGTGGTAAATATGATTATTATGTTAGTTATGCTCCACCACCTTCGTACAACGGGAAGATTGAGCCAAGTGGATGGGGTTCTAACTTCCCTGATCAAGAGGATCTTTGCACAAACCCTCATCCACCACGTCGACAAACTCTGAAAGTGCCAAGAGACCCACTTGTAGGTCAATGGTATGAGGCCCGCCGAACTCAAAATCGTAGTTCAAATCTGACGCGGACTCAAAAAAGGAGAATACTGAGGAAAAGAAAGGAGTATCAGCTCCAACAACAGGTAAGTCAAGTTCGCATCAAGCAGGTTAAACCGGTCTTGACTGCAGAGCAAAAGGTCAAGCCGAAAAATCCTAAGCGTGGAAATTTAGTCTGGAAACGGAAACCAGAAATGCAAGCGTCGACATCTGCTCGACCTAAGCAATCTTTACCAAAGTAAGACATTGAATCTGCGCGGTACGAACCACAACAATTGTCAAGATCAATTTCATCGTTAAGCTCTTGCATGGTTCGAGTATGCCTTCCATCAAACCTTCGGGTAATGACGATAGAGCCAGATCATTCGGTAGAAGTTACAATAGAAGAGAAAGAAAAAGCAGAATTTCACTTTGGCATAGAAGAGGTAGTTGAATTCGAGAAACCTCCACCAAGGGTTCAAACCATTTAAGGGCTCTGAATATAAACGCAAAAGTCAATGGCCGATCGGTGTCTCGAGTATTAGTGGACGGGGGATCTACACTAAATCTCATCCCATATCGTTTCTACAAGAAACTGGGAAGGCGTGACGAGGAGATTATTCCGTCGAACATCCAATTGTCTGACTTTACTGGAGAAGTCTCCGAAGTTAAAGGAATTTTCATTGCTGACTTGACTGTTGGTACCAAAACTTCCCAGACGTCTTTCTATGTGGTTAATGCAGATGGATCTTACAATTTGCTATTGGGCCGAGACTGGATCCATAGTAATCAATGCGTACCATCAACTCTCCATCAGATGCTAGTATTTTGGAATGGAGATAAGGTAGAATACGTCAAAGCAAATACCAAGTCACAAACAACCTATACACATGCATTGGCGCTGGAAGACAATATATCCATCAGCAAGCCACCTCTCGTTGACCCCAATAGTATTGCATTCTGCCGTTTCGACAAAGGGATCATTGAGTGGGTCTCGAAGAGTCAACTGGCAGCACAATTAAATGAGGTTGTCCATGGAGAACCTTATATTGTCAAAAGACCTCATTGAGAGGTACTCGGCCTATCAGGCCGAGCTCGCAGAACAATCCACAGAAGCTGTCGATGGAATCCTTGAATTTGAGGAGTCACCCATAAAAGAAAGTGAAAAATCAGTTGAAGCTCAAGACCCGTTGCAAGAGGTCAACCTTGGGTTAGGTAATGAGCACCGTCCTATTTACATAAGTTCGTTAGTCGATGACAACTTCAAAGCTCAGCTGATAAGACTCTTAAAGAAGTATAAGGATTGTTTTGGCTGGGATTATAAAGAAATGCCAGGATTAAGCAGAGATGTCGTCGAACACCGACTACCCATAAAAAGGGGTTTAGGCCTCATAAGCAGCCGCCCAGACGATTCGCCCCAGACGTTATCCTTAAAGTAAAAGAACAAGTCGATCGATTGCTGGCAGCAGGTTTTATTAGGACGGCATGGTACGTTGAGTGGTTGTCTAACATAGTCCCGGTAAAGAAAAAGAATGGGAAGCTACGTATCTGCATTGATTTCCGAGACTTAAATGCAGCCACCCCCAAGGATGAGTACCAGATGCCAATGGCGAATATGCTAGTTGATTCAACTTCTGGGAACGAAATTATGTCGTTAATGAATGGTCATTCAGGTTACAATCAAATATTCATTGCTCGAGAGGCGTGGGTAAAGCCTCTATATAAAACTGCAAGAACAAGAGGGGCCAATGCAAGGCGTCGTCCCATGGCTAGGGCTGCGGCAATTTGTAAATAGTCTTTGCAAACCTTAGGGGCAGGACTAAAAAACACATATTTTGATAGCCAAAAGAGCAAGAAAAAGAGACGCTCATCTTGGGTAATAGGACCCAAAGCTCGATAGAACCGAGACAAGAAATTGCTATATGCCAGAGCATCTTCAGAAATAAAAGGAGTGGGCAATAGAGACAAATCCTCGACGGCGTGACCAACCAACTCAAAACCCGCTATAGCAAACACATCGAGCATAGTGATGGACATGTGGCCCCAAGGAAAAAAGAAACAGTTGCTGGAAGATGACCAGAAAGTGATGGCAGAGCCCAATAACCCACGTTCCAGGTCATAAGATGACATACTAACCTCGAGAGCGATGTCGATTCCAGCAGCTGTCCATAAAAGTCGAGTTTCTCGGTCGGCCTTCAACCGAATAAACCATTTGTGAAAATCCACTTCGTAAGAAGGGAAACTTCGAAATCGCGAAGACCCGGTGGACCACACATCCGTAATAGAAGAATGTTGCAGTGCCAAAGTCTCACTGTGTTTATACGGGAAGTGGAATTGAAGATTCACAGGTATATTGAGATGGTCCATGAAACTGGGGCCCAGAGAGAAACAGTTGCATTCATCCTCGACAGCTTTCAGTAAATGAAAAAAGCAATTACCAGCGCGCGGATCATCTTTAAACTTGTCAAAAGCTGCGATGTAATCGCTAGCTGAATATTCAGATTTCTTGGACGCCATAAGAAATGATGGATCAAGATTGGAAAAGAGTTCAAGAAAGGATTTTTAGGGTTAGAGAAGAAGACGCGACGGTGAAACAAGGCTTTTACAAGAATAAAGAATGAAGGAGACGATTCGAAAAGCCACAACTGTTCGGGGAAGATACGAGGTGATGTGTTCAAAAGGTATTGGATGAAGAATTCATATGGACTGCTCGAAAGGACGTCAAAGGACAGAAAGCATGATCATCACCTAGGGATTCGTACACAGACACGGTACACCTTTAAAAGAAATAAATTCAAATTTATTCCTTTTAAAAGGGGGCATATGTTGACACCCAAAATTATCCCTGGTGAGAGTGGGCCGTTTACAAGTTACAAAAGATATAAAGTGTGGCCCACATAGCGAAAATCCAAAAAGGCCGCAAGTCAGGCCCAGAGGCATTAAGAAGATCTAAGGTAATTGTCGACAAGACACGTCATAGAGGTATCGACAAGTTCAAAATCACGAGCCTTGCACATGACATCGACGAGTTCAAGATCACGAGCCTTGCACGTGACGTCGACGAATCCAAGATCACGAGCTTCGCACGTGACGTCGACGAATCCAAGATCACGAGCTTTGCACGGAATCATGGTAATACGTGGCGGAAAATTCATTTACATGTGTCAAAAGGTAAAGACATGACCATGGGTGTGAAGATCAAGGAAGAGATGAAGAGACACGTGGAAGAAAATTAGCTATTACGTGATGCCCAAGGGGCGTAAGCAACATCGATAAGTCAGGAAGCGGTTAAAACGCGAAACGTAAGGAAGTGGAAAACAACTTTCAAGGAGAAATGCGGTCGATAGTTGTCAAGCTGCTCTATAAATACTCAAGGATTTCCGACGAAAAGAGGACCTGCTTCAACAAACACAACACATCTTTTATCTGGTCTTTATCCTTAACGCATTAGGAGTAGTTTAATCATAGCTTTCAGATTCTTTGTCGTAGATTCAATTCCGACGAGGGTCTTTATCAGGTTCAGCATTATTGATTAAATTCCAATGTTGTGCCACCAGTTTAGCGTCGTTGATTAAATTCCAGTGTTGTGCTTAGAGTATAGCTGTTGATTAGATTCTAGCCATATTCTCTTAAGCTACGTCATTGATTAAATTCTGGCGTACTTTGAAGTTGTGTCGTTGATTAGATTCCGACATAGCTTAACTTCAACATTTGCAAATTGTCATTTCATTGTTAGTATTGTCGAGTTTGGTATCATATCGAGTCAGGGTGTAAGATCTATTGGGATTAATAAACGTATTTGACATTCTTTGTCAAAGCTTGACTCAAGACCCTGGTCTCCTCTAATAAAATCCGAAACGCAGCGTTCGGTGAAAGATTTTCGACGGAATAAAAACCGGCGAAACACCATTAACACAGAGAAATTAGTCTTTTGATTTCACCTCGATGGCTTAGATAAGTTTGTTCAGACGAAATACCATAACGTGGAACAGAAAGCGTGGTCACATCCTTGAGGTTTAAGACCACCATGGCTAACCGGTGAAGTCGAAACCGTTTCGAAATGTCGTTCTGAAAGAAAAAAAAAAGTTAATATAATCTGATAAATTAGCTCGAGCTAGCCACTGACCACCAAATCTGGGTGAAGGAGATGAGGAGGTTTATGAGGAAGAAGGTGTTGAAGTACAGGTAACATTGTGTTCTTCTTACTTCTTAGATCTAGGCAAGGGCATGGCGAGGTCGCCGGCCACAAGAGGAGCTGATGGCAAAGGAGAAGAGGAGCTGAAACCCGCTTAAGGTTGAAGATGAACAGTAAACAAAAAAAGAAAAAGGAAGGACAATTTTTAGAAATTTTTTTTTGAAAAATTACTAAAATCGTCTACGTGAGCACCAGCTATGTCATGTAAGACAGTCGACATCCACGTTTTTAGTCAAAATTGGCCGGGTGAACTAAATTGACACAATTGAAACATTTAAGACTAAATTGACCATGTGCAATAGGTTTAAGATTTTTTGGACAATTATTTCCTAGCAAGCCCCACTACAAGCCCAGGAAGTCAAAACTATCTAACACATCCCGGTTGGATAGGAATAACCCAAAATCCTAGTTCTTTTGAGATGAACACATCGTGCGGAATGGGTCTACCTGGCTTCGGGTACTTCCCCTGTAGATCGCTGGACCGTGGACCTGAGTGCCGAATCCCTTCAATTCTCTCAAACTCATTATCTTAGTTCCTACTTTTTTTGACGAGGAAACGGTCTCTATCAGCCTTACTAGCTTTTTGAGATAAGCAAAAAAAATTTGATTTTTTTGTGCCCCTCAGCTATCCCTTTCCGTCTTCGTTTAGCAGCAAACTCCAGAATGGCCTTTTTGTATGAGCCGAAAAATGGTATCCACGAATACCAGCCATACTAGCTAGTCAAGAAAGGTGGGTAAGTAAGAGGCGCATCTAGGTAGTCTTTACTTCTTAGACTATTTATTGTTGAGATACACCCAAACTCCACTAGCTAGCATCACCGAAGTGAATCGTAACCTTTCACTCAGTTTATAGGGTGTCAGGACACGTCAAGAGACGAAACTAGCTAATGTTGTTTAATCACCGTCACTAGATTTGTTTGTAGCTACTATAGCTAATCAATTTCCTTTAATGCTTGATTTTTTTTTCTTGACATGTCTAATGCTTGATTAAATTGCCCACATTTATAGAGCACCATGTCAAGAATAGGAACCTTCTTCAAGGAAGTGTTGCTAACAAAAGTAGTGTTGACAATTGGTTGGCCAGGAAAATTGTCTAATCAATTCTATACTTATTGTACATATACCAATTTAGTCCTAACTTTCCAAAAACTAACAAAACCTTTGCATGAAATTCTAGCATAATCCTTTCAGGCAATTTTCATTGGAAATCACTGACGTGGCACAGCAGGTGATAACTAGATTCGACATGTCAACGATTTTCAGCAAAAATTGGCAGGTAGGACCACATTGAATTTTCATATAAAAGTTTATGACTAAATTGCCAAAAAAGTTTATGACTGATTAGTAATTTTCCCGCCTAATCATTGTTATGTTCATTTCCCACTGACATTCATTTAGAACAAACAACGAGTTTCAATTAATTCAGTAATGGTAATTCTTGCAGTAACTACTTAACTAACTAGCTTTCTTGACTGAATATATGTATGCCCTTTACCTTTAGGTGTTTTGGTTGTCTTTAGAGGGTTGGCAGATTGCCTAACTCTACATCATTAGGGCATGGCCAAACAAAAGGAACAAGAAAGAATCTACGTCATTAATTACACATTCGCTAGCTACTTTGGAATCACTTCACTTGGAAACCTTTTATTTACTATTTTTTTCATAATTTAGGATACGAGCACAGAAACCCGACCATTTAGAGGCCTCTGATTGGTGGATTACCTACAAGCCCATTGTCCAATTAAGTCCAGAAGACTTTCGGCTTGTTCAAATAACCCTGATCCAAAACATTTTGCACATCTAATATTTGAACAAATCTTCAGTTTACAAATTAGAATTTGCGCCCCAATCAATGGCCAATATTGAGGCATTTTCCCCCTTAACTTTTCCAACCCTTCCCCATAAATAGCAACTCCTAGCTTTTAACTTCGTCACTTATCTTTGCTCAGCTTGCTAAATCTTTCGCTAAATTCTTCACGTCCCGCTGTTTCTGAAACACATAATTCCCCGATCACACTTTTCTTACTCATTTTGATCATACTTTCTCTGAGAAATGGCATTTCAATCCGACTGTAAGTTGATTATGCTTGTGTTATTGCTAGCCCTCAAGCAGCTCGTCGAAAGCCATTTGTACCCTGTTATTTCGTGTACGGGGACTCCGTGAACGGCAATGGCAATAATGTCAACCTTCCTTCTTCTCTTAGACCTGTCTTCCTGCCATATGGGATCGACTTTCCCGACGGACCAACCGGAAGGTACAGCAACGGTCGGAATTTCGATGACGTCGTAGGTAATTTACATACCGTTTCTTAATTATATCGTTACATTGGAGGTCAACATGAGAGTAATAAGATGTTTTTGTTTCAGAAAGAGAACATTTTCATTTTGTACCAAAAAGAAGTATGAACAAGACGTAACCGGAAATGTGCATATGCAATGCAAAGGTTCTCTGATTCTACTTATAAATTTCCAGAGAAAAAAGGTTCTAATTTTACTTGTGTTGCTCATTTTTCAGCGCAAGGTGAGTGAAAAATGAGCATAATCTCACATCTAGCAATAATTTTTTGTACCAAAAAGAAGTATGAACAAGACGTAACCGGAAATGTGCATATGCAATGCAAAGGTTCTCTGATTCTACTTATAAATTTCCAGAGAAAAAGGTTCTAATTTTACTTGTGTTGCTCATTTTTCAGCGCAAGGTGAGTGAAAAATGAGCATAATCTCACATCTAGCAATAATTTTTTGTACCAAAAGAAGTATGAACAAGACGTAACCGGAAATGTGCATATGCAATGCAAAGGTTCTCTGATTCTACTTATAAATTTCCAGAGAAAAAGGTTCTAATTTTACTTGTGTTGCTCATTTTTCAGCGCAAGGTGAGTGAAAAATGAGCATAATCTCACATCTAGCAATAATTTTTGTACCAAAAAGAAGTATGAACAAGACGTAACCGGAAATGTGCATATGCAATGCAAAGGTTCTCTGATTCTACTTATAAATTTCCAGAGAAAAAAGGTTCTAATTTTACTTGTGTTGCTCATTTTTCAGCGCAAGGTGAGTGAAAAATGAGCATAATCTCACATCTAGCAATAATTTTTTTTTTACTTGCAGAGCAGTTCTTGGGCTTTGACAACTTTATTCCTCCATATGCAAATGCAAGTGGTAGAGATATACTTCAGGGGGTCAATTATGCCTGTGCTGGTGCTGGAATTCTTTATAGAACTGGGAAGCAATTGGTACATTTCATTTGACATTTGATTTCTTGTCAACTTTCTTGTTTCCAGAGTCAATTTTTGTTTAGATTGGATCCTCTAAAGTTTACCCTCTTGAACTGTCCAATTTCTTCCTTTCATTTTTACCCTCCCCTATCTCTCACACTTATCTGTTCGAGTCGACGCACCGCCATCATCGCCAAGGCTCCGTGTAGACCCTCTGACCCACCGCACTGTGTCCTTCCCCAAGCCTAGCCCACCACTGCTGCCTGCTGTCTCCATGTTTAGCCAAATCAAGCCGCCAGGGAGGCTGTGACCTCATATTGGAGTTAACTAGTCTCCAGCGGCCCCAAATCTAGGTCGGCTGAGGTTGGGTGCCGCCAATGCACGTAGCAGCCAACATGCGAGCGAGCCAATATCCTTCAGAGAGAGAGAGAGAGAGACGGTGGTGTGGTGCAACGGCAGTGACATGGTGCGGTGTAGCGCGACACCAAACGTGGCATGGCGCGGTGGCTATGGCAGAGGGAGAGAGGGGGGTGGGAGAGCATGTTGGAGCATTCTGGGTATATGAATAAATTTCCCTATTATTTTGGTCAGTTCGATATAACACACTAAATTTAGGGAATCGCCATCCATCTTTTTTGGTCATTTTGACATTAGTCACCAATCCATCAACCATTTAAAATCAAACTTAGATCGTGGAATTTTGGGCCATGCAAGGCAATGACGTTGTAACATGTAAGCACCTAACTATTAAACTATTCTAGTTATCCAGGTCCTAGCATGTAAAGATCCAACACCATCTAATCAAATTTTGACATATTCCATTAACATTTCCAAGTTATAAGGAATTGAATTTATTTTTTCTTTCGACAGTCAAGTTTAAACTATACTTGTATGAACATCATCTGTGCGTAATTTCTTCATATATTTCCTTTTTACAGGGTAACGTAGCAACATTTACTGATCAACTGAAGCAGCACCAATACGTAGCCTCAGAAATTGCGAAGATTTTAGGAGACGAGAACTCGGCTGCATTTCATCTAAAGAAGTGTTTATATTACGTCGACCTCGGCAATAACGATTACCTCGGAAATTACTTCGGTTTTACCAATCTCAGTCTGCAATACACTCCTGAACTGTATGCCAATCTTCTCGTTGAAACATATTCTCAGAAGATGAAGGTGTTTTTCGTTATCTATCGCTTTTGCATTGCGTTCAATTTCTAGAACTTCTGTCGCCTTTTTCTTCTTTTTATTTCACCACTAAAACCGACTGAAAGATTGTGCCTTTAATTCCAGGATTTGTACAACTACGGAGCGAGGAAGATGATCCTATCAGGGGCAAACTTTATTGGGTGCACAGCATTTGTATTGGCCCATAGTCCTCCAACGTTTTCGCAGTGCATAGGCTATGTCAATTTCGCTATGCGGATATTCGACGACAAGCTTAAATCTCTCGTCAGTGACTTGAACAAGCACTTTGCTGATGCTAAATTCACTTATCAGGACACTTCCGCCATTTTTCAAGAGTTACTAGACAACCCATTGCTATACGGTATCCAAATTATTTGTGTTTGTTGGATGATTTTCTCAGCAAATTTTCTTCGTAGATTTTGTCTTACGTATGTCATGTTGAACGTGTTCCACTTATCCGCCACCGTCGAGAATGTTAAGCTCTCCGGTGCTGAAATGATGTCAAAGTATTGGGGTGAACAAGTCTTTATAACGTTGACACTGCAAAGTATAAACGCAACAATTCCAAGTGTCTAAGAGTAGATTTGATTAGAGATGACTTGTAACCCTTTTCCTCTTTCATTTTCAGCCCAAAATAACTTGGCAAACGAATTTGGCGACCTCTAATCATTGTCAAGTTTCTTGAACATTGGTGGACTTGACTAGAAAAAATTAAGGCTTTTCCACTATGCGGTTATTAAGAAAACATAAAGAATACTCACCACACTTCTGTCCATTTCCAATCTTTGTGAATACTGAAGTTATGAACTCATATGTGAACAAAAGTTAAGAACAGAGTCAACTAGAGGTGCTGTCACTATAAGATTATTGTTAAGTCGACCAGCAATGTAAGAACATCCTTACACATTAGCTGTTAGAAAAACGATATGTATATTTCAAGTTAAATCTATAAGTGAATTCTTCCACATGTCGACCATCCACCAATAAGTGAATTTCTTGTCAATTCTTGTTAATTTGAGGCTTCAAGGTCACAACAACCGCTTGCTGTGGGCACGGACGGAAGCGTGGTAAGATCAGCTGTCAGAAATACCAAATCCCATGCAAGAACAGGGACGAGTACTTGTTTTGGGACCTTGCCCATCCTACTGAAGCCGTCAATGTGGTCGCGGCCAGCAAATTATTCAGCGATGAAGCTGAACTGTTCACTTACCCATTCACCATTTCCCAGTTAGCCCAGCTCTAATGCTTTGTTGCTTGCGGTTCTCCCGTTTCTTGCCTTTTCCATTTTCATGTTGTCGTTTCATCTCGTGAATCATGCCCCTCCAGTCCAAGATCAATGCATTGAACCGAGGTTACGCCTCGCAATAACAACCAAGTTTTTGAATTTCGAAATGTGATTCATGGAGGGATGTATCGCGTTATCGTGATGCAGGGTTTCACTATTGAACATGCGATTTACTTTCTCGCACTATCCTTGTGCCATGAATCACTTGCGGAACGAAAGGGTTTTTGAGGGATCTTTTCCTTTCGAGTAGCTAGTTCGAATGTTTTCAAATATGAGAGCGTAGAGGAATGTTTATCGGTAAAAGGGTCAATTCATATGCTGTCATTAAATACGTCTGACTCACATCAATTAACAATTCATGCAAAATCTATCAAAATAAAGAAAAGTTACCATCATTGTATAAGGAAATCAGAGCATGCACAGCCATGTAGACCAAAACAATGAAAAGTTGCCTAAAATGCTCTCATAGTGAAACCAAAATGAATAACTACTAAGCAGAATGAAACAAAATAGGCCATTTTGGATCGTGATGTGACCGACCAGTCAACGAATCCGGTCGCGTCCTGTGGGATTTTTTAAGATCCATTTGTTTATCATGCTGAAGTTTTCTATTCCTTATAAGATTGTCCCAATGACCACAAATGTGAAAATAGCTTCTTCTTTTCTTTTCTTTTTTTGTATATAATCTAAAGATACAGGCCTATAAACCTGCTATATGAAAGCTCATAAAACATCACATAAAACCCATGGACTGATTAAGTTCAGGCCTTACAATATGAGGATTAACACAGTTGGTAGGGGCATTAATGAATTTTTAGGAACTGGAGGTTAACTGTTGGTATCTCATTAACTGGGCTCGTAGAGTGCTTCACGAGTGTCTAAACGAGCGAGTTACGTATCTATGTTCTTGAAATATAAAAAAAAATAAATGAAGAATGAAAAATGGAAGATAAAAAATGAACCAAAAAATAAAAAGAGAATAGTCAAGAGGAATTAGGGAAGTTGGCGTATAAGGCTATAGCCAAACTAAATAGGACACCCATAGGTGGGGCTGCTTTTGGCTAACAAAAGAGTACGCTTGGCCTCCGTGGTCCGACTATCCAAATTGTGTAGCCAATTAGATGAAATGTTGTGGCCGTCCTTTAGTCACTTTTCGGAACCACTCTATATTGAAATCTGCCTATAGGTTTAGGATGTCCGAAGCCTATTTATCACAGTTTATGTACGTGCATATGTGTCATTCCGAAACATATTTCCACCCCCATCAAACATCAACTTCTTTTATAGTGACATCGATGAAATCATCGACTTCTTTTGTGACCGGCAATGCTAAAGATAAGAACTTTTACCATGTTTTCTTTGCTAGGGGTTTAGAATTTGTGTATTGAATATTTACACAAATGTGACTCATGCATTGAGGCTCCCTTTATTTTACAGGAAATATGATATTTCTAGAAAATAATTTTCTGAAAGTCATTTTTATAAAAATGGCAATGTTTTTCCGAAACTTGATTGAAATATGAAAATGAACTAGAAATTATTTTCCGTTGTTTTGTAAGAAAAACTTGTTTTTATTTTCTCAAAGACATACACTATTCGAGTTGCTAGTGACTTGGGCACGGGTAGTCAGGGAACCGGGCACAGGCACTGAGCTCCCAAGCCCGACCTCTATGGACCCGGCTCGGCCACGATAGGCCTCAGCATGGGCATCGAGGACCCTACCATAGGCACTGGTTTCAAGCCCACAGATATTGGGCCTGAGACACCGTTCCCCGTGCCCAACTCCCTAATGCCTTGGCCTAGGTACATCGAGGCCGAGTCAGGTCTACAAAGGCCAAGCGTGGGACCCTAGCGTCGATGTCCTCGATGCTTGGACCTTGGCTCATAGAGGCCAAGGCTGAGCCCACAGTGGTTGGGCCCCAGATCGTGTTGCTCATGCCCATGAACCGTGACACCCTCATTCGATTTATTGTCCGCTTTGGCCCATCCCATATCGAGTCTCACGGTTTTGTCCTTTGGTGTATAGCCAGACACTTTCCCAAGAGGTCACCTATCCTGGTAGTACTCTGGCCTGGCTCGCTTAACTTTGGAGTTTCAAAGCAAAGCTTGCCGTTACGTCAAAATGCGCCTCCGTGAGTTAATTCCAGTTTTCACATATATATCTCAGGATCGCTCTCTCCCTGTTCGGTACACAGCTCGGTTCATTCCTGCCCCCTTCGCCATCCTAAAAGCCTGTCAAGAGCCGCTTCTTGTCCAGGCCTTCTAGCCCCGACGACCACTCCCCGCCCTCATCTGATCGGGTCGTCACAGGCCCACCAGCTTCCGCATGGTTCATCCCCGAACCATATATCTACTGGAGGGGGTCCCGCTCTAATATCATATTGTGACACCCTAGATTTAACTCACTCGAGGTATTGTCCGCTTTGGCCCGTCCCATACCGAGCCTCACGGTTTTGTCCTTCGGTGTATAGGCAGGCACTTTCCTAGGAGGCCACCCATCCTGGTAGTGCTCTGGCCTAGACTCGCTTAACTTTGGAGTTCCAAAGCAAAGCTTGCCATTACATCAAAAGGCGCCTCCGTGAGTTAATTCCAGTTTTCACATATATATTCCAGAATCGCTCTCCCCATGTTCGGTGCATAGTTCGGTTCATTCCTGCCCCCTTCGCCATCCTAGAAGCCTACTAGGAGCCATTCCCAATCCAGGTCTGTTGGCCCTGCCGATCACTCCCCACCCTCGTCGGACTGGGCCATTACAGGAACCCAGCACCCGCGCCCGAGATCTCGATTTCGGGTGCTCGTGCCCAGATTCCCAGCACCTGTGCTCGGGTCTTTGGAGCTCGAAGCTAGGACCTCAGTGCTTGTGCCTGGCTCCGCCTCACCAAGGTCCATAAGGTTGAGCCCGGAACAATAGTGCCATAGCCCAGGTCTTAGGCACCTAGGCCTGGGCTTATTGAAGATGGGCTTAAGACCCCGAAAGTGTTCGATGCTTGAGCATGACGGACTTGAGTCCGGCCTTAATGGACCCAAGGTCAGGCTCCAAGGTTTCAATTCGGGTACCCGAACATGAACCGAAACAAATCAAGACACTTTAAATAATACATTGTCTTCCTCCAGAGAACACCCTCCAAGAAAGTCTCCCCTACTATTGTCTTTTGCACCTCGACTCGACCCGACCTAATCCAAACCAACCCGAACCGTGTTTTCAGTTTAAGTACTATACAATTCTAGTCATGAACACACATGTACCAAACATATTCGGGTCAGTTCGTATATCATGGAAACCCAAACCATTAACACTCTGCTTAAGATGGAAAGAGAATAGGAATATTTTTGTTTGTTTGTTATAATCCAAGGGCACGAGCATAGAGGTCCGGCTTTTCAAAGACTCACGGAGCATCATACAAACTCCGTAAGCCGAATAAGTCCAAGCCATTCTGTTAGAGTAGAATTATTTTTATTTTCTAGGTTTTATTCCTTTTTACATATATAAGGGCATTATGGTCATATACAATTCATATTTAATATAAATATATCGTGATGGGTGTATGGTTTCAGACACACACAGAAACCAAGAGCCCCTTTCTTGGATTTTACAATCTCTTTCTTTCTCTTCTTCTCATCTCTTTTTCTTCTCTCTTCCTTCTTTTCTCTAGTTATTTTTCTGCGGGTTCTCTAATCAGCTTAGTAACATGGTATCAGAGCACGGTTTGACTACCTGATTCCCTGGTCCTATTGCTGGTTTGAGAGTCCCCTAATAACTCTATTCCTTCTCTGGTGCGTAGCCACCTAAAGCTGCAATTTTTACCTATTTTCTCTTCAAGTCTCGATACATATAAGATCAGGAGAAATCAGATTTATCAGGTTCTGTTTGTGACAATGGATTACAACACTTCCTGATCAGCAGATTCAAGGATCAGGGTATTTCGTTGATTATGCAGCCTATATTTATAAGATTTCAGCATCCCTTTGTTTGTTTGATGGAGCCAATCGCATCTGATTATATGTTGGTATTGCTTTTTTATTTCTTGCACTGAAGTTTCGGCCTTTTTGATCGGTGGTAGATATATTTATATTGAGATTTTCACCATGAATGGCACTAAGTCTTCTACGGACAGTGTCAATGTTCAGATTACCACCATTAAATTGAATGGATCCTCCAATTACTTGCTATGGGCTCAAGCTGTGAAGGTTTATATTAATGCCAAAGGGAAACTTAATTATCTTACTACAGAACCCCCTGCTGAAAACTCTAAAGACTATAGTGACTGGATGAGAACCCCCTGCTGAAAACTCTAAAGACTATAGTGACTGGATGAGAGAGAATGATACACTTTTGGTGTGGTTATGGAATAGCATGGAACCATCCATTGCTGCTAATGTCATGTTCCACACAACTGCCAAGGGAGTGTGGGATGATCTTATGGAGAGTTACTCATAAGACAAAAACATGTCTAGAGTCTATGAGCTCTATGAGAAGATTTTTAATTTTAAACAGGGGGACAAGTCTCTTGGAGAGTATTATAGTGCTTTGAAAGGCATGTGGGAAGCACTTAATCTTTATCAGCCCATCACTACTGATCTTGAGACACTAAAGACACAACGAGCTGAATTTAAGGTGACCAAGTTTTTATCAGGCTTGAATGCTGACTTACAGCCTATGAAGAGTCAGCTTCTTGCTGGAGAGAGAGTTCCTTCTATGAATGAAGCATTTTGTCGGATTCAACGCATTGTCCCTCCGTCTTCTACATCATCTAAAGATAATTCAGCATTTGTGGCTAGTAGTGGTGTTCGTGGTCGTGGTGGATTTTCTAATAGAGGTCGTGGTTTAGGGGGAGGTCGCGGTCGTGGTGGTGGACGTAGTGGACAAAATTCTGATCGAGATAGCCGTCAGTGTATATACTGCGACAAATCTGGTCATATTGTTGACACATGTTGGGCCAAGCATGGCAAGCCTGAGTGGGCTCAGCGATTAGTTACTACAAATGCTGCTATGTCTGAAGGGAGTGCTGGAAATGTGTCTTACGGTGACACGAATCCATATATCCCAAGTGGGGGTAGTTCTTCTGAGTCCGCGTCTCGGGATGATATGGTCGCACAACTCATCAAGCGTGTCCAACAACTGGAGGCTTCCAATTTCTCATCCACTGCCACTCTTGCACGTACAAGTAACATGGCCTTTTTCTCTACTTTGTCTCCTGGCACCTCTTGGGTCATTGACTCGGGAGCTTCTAGTCATATGACGGGTAAGCAAGAATTATTTTCTTCCCACCATAACTCTAGTCCTTCACCTGAAGTCATTCTAGCTAATGTTTCCTCTACTCAAGTGGTTGGACCAGGGGCTGTTTCACTTACACCCTCCTTATCCTTGTCCTCCGTTTTACATGTTCCCCAACTTCCTTTGAATTTGTTATCTGTTAGTCAGTTAACTAAAAATCTTGGTTGTTCTGTTACATTTTACCCCTCCTATTGCATTTTTCAGGACCTTCAGACAAAGAAGAAGATTGGTGGAGGGCATGAACATGATGGACTCTATTATCTGGATGGTGTCTCCACTGCTGACGCCAATGGTCTAGCTGCTAGTCCTATTACCCCCCTATTATGGCATTCCCGTTTAGGGCATTTATCTTTATTTAAGTTACAGCAAATAATTCCCGAGTGTAAATCAATTTCTACTCTTGAGTGTGAGGCTTGTGAACTTGGGAAACATCATCGTAGTTCTTTTCCTAGTCGTAGTGATTCTCGTGCATCTACTTTATTAGAACTTGTTCATTCGGACATCTGGGGACCTTCCCGTGTTGCTAATAGAAATGGTTTTAAGTACTTTGTTACTTTTGTGGATGATTAATCTCGTCTAACATGGCACTATATGTTTCATGATCGTTCTGAATCTTTACATGTTTTTCAATTATTTCATCGTGAGGTTACTAATCAGTTTAATACATCCCTTAAAATTTTGCGAACAAATAATGCTCTAGAATACTCACAAAAATCAATTTCTTTGTTTTGTTCTAGTCTTGGCATTATACATCAAACAAGTTGTACTTTACCCCTCAGCAGAATAGTGTGGCTGAGAGAAAGAACCGTCACCTTCTAGAAGTTGCTCGTTCACTCTTGTTACATATGCATGTCCCAAAATCATTTTGGAGTGATGCTGTCGTTACTACTTGTTACCTCATAAATCGTATGCCTTCCACTGTCCTCAATCAACAGTCACCAATCAATATTGTATTTCCTGACAAGCCGTTATTTCCTCTTACCCCGTGTGTCTTTGGGTGTGTCTGCGTTGTCCATAATTTACGACCTGGTGCTGATAAACTATCCCCTCGTGCTACTAAATGTGTTTTTCTCGGGTATTCACGTACTCAAAAGGGATATCGGTGTTATGATCCTATGACTTATACTCAATATGTCAGTGCTGACGTTACTTTTTTCAAGGGCACACCATACTATTCTACTAAGGGTAAAGACTTTTCAACTGACATTGTAGCTGATCCTCCTATTCCACAACTTATTCCCTTAGATTCCGTTAGTCCTTCCGTACCTCCTCCCTTGCAAGTATATCAGCGGCGAAAGCAGTCTACGGCACCACCAGTCTCCAGCTCTTCCGTGCCCTCCGTTCAATCTCCCTCCTTGTCTCCTGGTCCGGACGATCTTCCAATTGCCCTTCGCAAAGGTACTCGTTCTTGTACACAAAAATCCTCTTTTGCTTACCCTATCGAGCGTTATGTGTCTCTTTCACATCTTCCTCCTCCATTACATGACTTTGCTCTATCATTACATACTCACACTATTCTTACTTCTACCACTGAGGCCTTGTCTCATCTCGAGTGGAAGAGAGCTATGGATGTAGAAATGGAAGCTTTGGTGTCCCGCCAAACGTGGTCTTTGGTTGATCTTCCTCTTGGGAAAGATGTGGTGAAGTGTCGTTGGGTGTACACTATCAAGTATAACCCGGATGGCTCAGTTGAGCATCTCAAAGCTCGGCTCGTTGCTAAAGGTTTTACTCAAACTTATGGAGTGGATTATTTTGAGACTTTTTCCCCCGTGGCACGTCTCAATTCTGTTCATGTTATTATTTCTCTTGCTGTGAATTTTGATTGGCCATTATATCAATTGGATGTCAAGAATGCTTTTCTTTATGGTGATTTGTCTGAAGAAGTATATATGGAGCAACCTCCTGGGTATGTTGCCCAGGGGGAGGATCGCAGTAAAGTATGCCGGCTACATAAAGTCATTTATGGGTTGAAACAATCTCCTAGAGCATGGTTTGAGAAATTCAGTTTAGTGATTTCCAAGTGTGGTTTTCACCAATGTTATTCTGATCATTCTGTTTTTGTTCGCAAGAAGGAGTCGGGAGTGGTCATTCTTGTTGTTTTTGTGGATGATATAATTGTCTCTGGTAGTGATGCGACCGGAATTTCTGAGGTTAAATCTTTTCTTCAACAGCAATTTCAGATTAAAGACTTGGGAGCTCTTAGGTATTTTCTAGGTATTGAAGTTTTACGAAGTAGGAAAGGTATTAATTTGTCTCAGCGAAAGTATGTTCTTGATCTTTTATCTGAGACTGGTACACTAGCTTCCAAGCCAGTTGATACTCCTATGGATCCAAATCAAAAGTCTGGAGTTGATGATGGAGATGATACTGAAGATAAACATCGGTATCGGCGTCTAGTTGGGAAACTAATTTATCTTACTGTTACACGTCCCGATATTTCTTTTGATGTTAGTGTGGTGAGTCAGTTTATGGAATCACCCAAGAAGGCTCATTGGGATGATGTTTGTCGCATTCTTCGATATCTTAAAGGCTCTCCTGGTAAGGGACTGATTTATAAACCGAATGGCTCTTCCACCTTAGTTGGCTATTCTGATGCTGATTGGGCTGGGTCAAAGTGTGATCGGCGGTTTATGACTGGGTATTGCACCTTTCTTGGTGGTAATTTGGTTACTTGGAGAAGCAAAAAACAGACTACCATTGCCAGATCTAGTGCGGAGGCTGAATATCGTGCTATGGCACAAACTGTGGCTGAATTGCTATGGTTGAAATCTCTTCTCCAGGAGCTTGGATTTTCTATTAATCATCCTATTGATATGATGTGTGATAATCAAGCAGCTATTTATATTGCTGGAAATCCTGTTTTTCAAGAGCGAACTAAGCATATAAAAGTTGATTGTCACTTTGTTCGTGATGCTGTGAAGCAGAAGTTGGTTGCCACTCCTTACGTTGCCTCTAGAGATCAGTTTGCTGATATGTTCACTAAAGCGTTTTTTCGTCTTGCCTTTGTTGCTAGTTGTTCCAAGCTGGGCATGGGTGACCTATATGCTCCAGCTTGAGGGGGAGTGTTAGAGTGAAATTATTTTTATTTTCTAGGTTTTATTCCTTTTTACATATATAAGGGCATTATGGTCATATACAATTCATATTTAATATAAATATATCGTGATGGGTGTAGGGTTTCAGACACACACAGAAACCAAGAGCCCCTTTCTTGGATTTTACAATCTCTTTCTTTCTCTCTTCTTCTCCTCTCTTTTTCTTCTCTCTTCCTTCTTTTCTCTCGTTATTTTTCTACGGCTTCTCTAATCAGCTTAAGATGGAAAGAGAATAGGAATATTTTTGTTTGTTTGTTTGTTATAATCCAAGGGCACGAGCATAGAGGTCCTGCTTTTCAAAGACTCACGGAGCATCATACAAACTTCGTAAGCCGGATAAGTCCAAGCCATTCGTCTGTACAGATGATCCTAACCTAGAGAAATTTGCACGTAATTAGTAGGAGTTGAACAAGAAATTTCCAAATCCTGAATTGCCAAATCCCCTAGCACACTAATAAATTGCGCTTGCCTTGGAGGTCCAAAAAGCAGGTATTTTCCCCAGCACTATCGTGATGATAAAATACTATTCAAATTATTATTAGGCCCATCGTCGGTGTAGAACTTTCCACACCGATTGTTGGACGAACATCATGTGTTTTTTGAGTTGCTTTTGCAATGGAATTCTTCTACATGCCAATCATCCAACTGTATGTGCATGAAGCATGTTTTACATCGATAATAGATTTAACAAAAATCTATACTTTCAACATATGCCCTAATACAAGTCCGAAAAATCTAACCTTAGTTTCTTAAGTACTGGCAACGGGCCAATTGTGCTAATTTGGTCATGCATTTACTCAAATTGGGCTTTTTGAGCGGCCCACCAACCATTGATGGGCTCAAGTTTGGTGATAGCCCTGCAAATATCTCTAAGGGTGCGCATGACAACGATTCTGTGCCCGGGAACTGATTCTGCTCAGAAATGATTCTTTTTAATTCTGTGCCCGGAAACTGATTCTGAGCATTTAAAGGTGTTTAGTAACGGCCCAAAATTTCCATTCCTGGAATAGAAAAAGAACAGAAATGTGTTTGGTAACGGCACAAAATTTCTTTTTATTAATAATATTTAAATATTTTTTTCTTTCTTTTTTCTTTTTTTTTCTTTTCTATTTTTCTTCTCCTCCTTCTTGGTCATGGCAGGTAAAATATTTTTTTTATTAATAATATTTTTATTAAAAAAAAATTTAGTTTTTTTGGCTATGGCCGGTAAAATATTTTTTTTATTTTTTTGGCCATGGTAGGTAAAATATTTTTTATTAATAATATTTTTTTATTAAAACATTTTATTGAAAATATTTTTTTCTTTCTTTGGGCCATGGCCTGGTCGCCAGCCATGGCCGGTAAAATATTTTTTTATTAATAATATATTTTTTTGTTCATGGCCTAGTTGCCGGCCATGGCCGATAAAATTTTTTTTATTAATAATATATTTTACTAATAATATTTTTTTATTAAAATATTTTAATTTTGCCAGATCCGGCAAGGGCAGCCCTTGCGCCGGACATTAGAAGCTACATCAAAAACCAAGAAAAAGAAGAATAAGAAAAACTGATTCTCATTTTTGTTCCTAGAATCAAGAAGCTACTTTTTTTTATTCTTAATTCTGTTCCAAAACTGATTTTGGGAACAAATTCTTGCAAATTTGTGCCCAGAATCAAAAAATTAAACAAACGGATTTCTGTTCCCAAACAGATTCTAGGAACAAAAGAACAGAAATTTTCACTGTTTGGCACGTTACCAAACGGGCCCTAAAAGAACAAGAAAAATCATTTCTTGGATTTGTAATAGAAAAATGATTAAGTGATGGTCACTAATCTACTGTAAGATTAATAGAATATTTTGAACCACAAAAAAATAAATAAAAAATAAATATAACTTATTTTGGGTTCACTTATCAAGAATTTGTGGCTCACAACATGCTGTTACTTTTACAATTACCCAAAAACTGTTATGCTAGCAAAGCTCTTTGTAATACATGCTACCCTAACACATATGTTCGCTCTGTGTCTTACGGGATGACACTAAATCTAGAGAGGAACAAAGAAAGAAAATGCTCCATGCCAAGTGGACAGAAACGAAGGAGCTACAGAAAATAAGAAAACTTGTGTGTTGACTAAGATTCAATATGAAAAAAAAGTCACACATAAAGAGGATGAATAACTTAACTTTGAGATCGGCACGGTTGGTTGAGATTTCGGGGAAACGGGAGTCTATCTGTTCGAATCTCATTATTACGTGCAAACTGCTTTGAGTTAGGACTACATGTATAGGCCGAAGCTCTAATCTTGATCGGTTTTTAAAATTTGTAGGGTGTTTCACGAGTCTCTAGGTCAATAGGTCTCCATGTCTATATCCCTGAGATATAAAAGAACTAAAAATTGAATAATGGAGATTATAAATAGAAAAAAAATGATAAAAAGGGAATAGTCAAGATGAATAATGGAGGTTGGCAT